TACCACTAAGCTACAACCCCAGCCCCTTATTAGTTGATTTTTAAATCAAAGGATAACAGAGGAGAATTATCCCTAGATGTAGATCAGACTTACATGCGACTATATACTTGGCAAGAATTATGGTCTTTATCTTACATAAAAAAGACACAGATAATATGATTTAGAAATTGTAGTATTTGGGAATTTTAGGCCTCTGCAAGTAACTGTTAACTGCCCTTTCAAGAGTATGTGGTTTGAAATAACAGGAAGAAAGCAAATTACTCAAGGAAGAAATCTATTTCTGCCTCTATCATAATTGACAAGGATTAAGTGTCGAGGCCCACTCAGGTTTTTTCTCTAGAAAAAATATCTCCAGGTGGTTTTCTCCTAAGAATTCCTTTGGAATAGAGCAGACATAAGCTATAGTAATCAGAGACAGAATAAGACCTCAGATACATGACTCTTGTAACAAAAACTAATTGATTTTCTGTAATTTGGCCTGTCTTGCCACATTATATTTCAGACAGAGTGAAAATTACAACTTCTAAGCCTGCTGGTTTTTGACAATTGGGAATAAATCACAATATTTTTGAAAGAAGAAAGAGTAAACAAAACATTTGATTCAATGATGCCATAGAAATCCAACAAAAACATACACTCCATTTTATTTTTCAATTCTGTGGACAACATCTATTAACTTGCACAGTCAGAGACACAGTTCATTTGATCTACTGCACAATAGACACAATGCGAAGGGATATTATCACTTTGAAGCAAGTGACATCTTATATCTCTGTTGGATAAAGAGAACACAAGAGCAAAAGGCTAAGCCTAGCAGAAGTTTCTAGAAAGAATTTAAAAGGAATATAAATCAAAAGCAAAATATCCATGGTCTTCCTTGAGGAAGTGAAGTACTATTGAGTATCCACGATTGCTATACAATGGTTGTTCTAAGCAATCAGATCCTCTTGTGGTTCCCAAGGACCTTCAACTCCTAAAATGGTAGTCAGCCTACAGAACTAAGCAAGATAAATATTTTCTTCCTAAATTCAAGATTCTTCATTTTGACATCTGCTAAGGATTTTAATTTGAAAGACTGTAAAATGTCAAAGTGACTCTCATAAGTTGTGAGACATTTCTTGAGATCGTGAGAGTTCCATTGGTAAGTAGAATACAATGAATTTATTTAAAAGTTATGTAAATTTTTCAAACTCAAAGGCTCTGAATCACTGAAAAATGTTTCCCAAAGATGCCATACCAACATACTACAGTAGTCCACAATAAAGACCACAGCTTTAGAGAATGAACACAAATAGAATATTAGACTAGGTGGGCCCTTGTTCACTGGAAGTCTTTTATATAGGCTTACTTTCTTTTGCCTTTTGAAAAACACAGTATCCAGTCCCATTCTTAACACTATTTCTTTTTCATTTTTATGATATGTGAGAGGAGTTAAAACTACCTTTCTTAGAGCAAAGCCAATCAAAGTACACCATCAATACCAACTTGAAATCACTGTTGGGCCATCATCCAAACTTACTTTTGAATTAGAATATAGTCAGATTCCAAAGAGACATGAATAATGTCTGTGCTGGTCTTTCCTTTCCTAATTAGTATTCATGAACTGCTGGAATTTTTCTCCCTTCCCCTCTCTCTGTCTTTGCATTATCTCAGTAGTTGTATCGTTTGATTGCTGCTTGATTGTAATTCAATCTGGCGCCTCTTCATGGAGCACTACATTTCCTCTCGATAGTTATACATTAAACTGTGGTGACCCCAGAGGCTCCACCACTGACAAGATTTCAGCCTTTCTTGCTTTGTGCAGTTCATTTATTCTTGGTTCAAGGGCAGCCTAGACAGACACCGACAGACACTGATTACCTGGCAGGGTTGTAAGATAAGGTTTTCTGCTTTTTTTTTTTTTTTCTTTTGTACCATCCTGATGAACTCTGGTATAGTCCCCTCTGTTATCAAGTAGGAGTTCATTCATAGGGAGAAAGGTCTCATCAGAATCCATGTGTCCTAGTGGGATAGTTCTTTAAAGTCATACTGTTACTCAACTCTTTACACTTAAAATCAGGAGAACTGTCTGATACACAAAAACTTCATCTGCTTTGAAATCTAAAAACTCCTGAGTAGTATTTATGCATGGTCCTGAGTTTAAATAATGCTTAAAAGCACGCAGGAGTGTGTGTGTGTGTGTGTGTGTGTGTGTGTGTACATGCACTCATAAACTCTCTTAACTTTGAAAGCCAAATACTTGATTCAAAAAACACAAAAGGGAGAGCATCTTAACACAGCAGGGATTTGATCACATGCAGCCTCTAAAAACAGTGTCATGTGTTCTACCACCCATTACTTGCAACAAAGTATCTTCCTGCAAGGAAATGGTGAGTCAAGGGGATGTGTGCAGGTGGAGCTTTTTCTTACACATAACTCCTGTTTGCTCCCAGGGATGAGTCAGATTGTTAGAACAGACAACTGCCGGGAAAACAGCAAACCACCCCCTGAGAGCAGTTAGAAGAGGAAGACCAGAGAGGGATTATAGTTCACCAGACAGGCCTGAGAGCAGCAATGTACTGGAATCATCTTTCCCGGATGGCACTTCATCTCTACCAAAGCATTGGACAGAGTGTTCTATTTCCTTGCATTGGAAAGGAAGAAAGAGTTATAGATTTCTTTGCCTCCAAGCAATCTTCTAGAGAAAGCAATTGTTCCCTCCACATCCGTATTTTATCAGAATCAAGACTTTAATGGAAAAATAAAAGGAAATGAATTCTGTTCTCCCAATTGCTCGGCAGGCATGTATTCCCAGTCTTTCTTTTCCCCCCAATGATACTTAACTGGAACTTAAAATGTGGGTAATTCTAAGAAGTAACTTGGTGTTTTCAGAATGCTTTTTCAAATACAGGACCTACTTTAGTTTCTTCCTACATGAAAATGATCCTGTCAATTTTTGTCATATGTCCATCATTTTAAGTGAATTGTTTTATTTTTAGAGAGAATTTATACTGGCCTAACTATCATCCCTTCCTACCACATGGCATGGAATTTCAACAGTAGACTGCTTTCTATAGCCAAGGAACAGATATAAACTAACAAATAACAGAGAAATCAAATTCACCATTGAATTGAGAAATACGAAGATAACCATCCACACTCAGCTCTGTTAGATTGCCAAGAGCCTTTATTCATTCTTCTGCTAAAAGTTTTTAAATTGTTGCCTTCAGTTCCATAGGACAAAGGTAGTTAACTGAAGAAAAGATTAATTCACACAAGTTTAAGACTCTTAAAAATACATACAAATACATTTTGAGATACATTGCCATGACAGAAGGAACTATTTTCTTAATTTCATCTGAAATTGTAATTTTCCCAAGAAAATTGTTTGCTTCATTTTAAAAAGCATAAACTTAGAACCACTAATATGTGTATTTCCTTTACACTGTGTGCACACTAATGAAGAACTTAAAAATCCTGGAATGCAATGATATCTTCATATTATTTACCCCATTGAGAAGTAGAGAAAGGATGAGAAAGGGATGATTACAATTAAACACAACTTAGATTTGGAGAATCTAAGATATAGATAGCTGGAGATTATGAGTCAAATAGAGAGGTGGGCCAGTCCATTCCAACTCTGACATTCAAAGACTCTCTGAAGAATATTAAACAAAATCAAGTATGTTATTTTATACATGCTTCCAAACTATTGCCATTTATAAATAACAACTCAAAATTCTGCTGTGGCTACATCTTTTAAAAAATTTGTTCTAAATCTATTTGTGCTATGTCAATTATGTGGATAAAATAAGAACAGAGAAACCCTTCCTGGAAAACATTTTTTTTTCTTTTCTTCTAGAAATTCTGTCCTGCTACCTCCTGAGCTCCTTGAAAATGAAAATCTCTGTCTTCCAGATGACAGCCACCTTGTCGGTAGAACCAAAATAGCTCTCTCAGCTAGAGAGTTGTCTGTCAGTAAGAGTTCTGACAGATATTAGATTTGGCACGCAGGAGAAGGGCAAGAATGGCCCCATGGAAGGAGATTTGAGGGGAGAACCTGACTAGCTGAGGGGCAAGGCATTTGAAAAACAATCATCTCCTAGATACCACATCAAGCACAGAGAAACCATCAGGCATTTTTGGAAGTAACACAAAATCTTGGGAGAACAGAGAGTCAGAAAGATGGGTGACAAGTTCCTATTTCCACCATTAGCTCTTGTAGGACTTTGAAAGGGCCATGGTTGGATAAAACATGCACAGACTGGAAGGTTCCATTTGTGAAAGGAATTGACTATGTTTACTTGCATAGTATTTTCTCTCCCTCTAGTGGTGGGGTGGGGGGCCTTTGAAGGGACAGCCTGTCACTACTGCAATACTGCTTCATGAGATGAATTTCCATTACACTGCCTTCTTTCCATAAAAGCTAGGACTGTCTTTAGGTGTGCTCTATCTTTTATGGTAGTTTTCGAAACACCCCCAACACTACTCCATATAAAGGAGTAAACTATCTTCTAAGTATGCTGATTAGTGGTAAGGGTAGTGGTAAGAAGGCAAAAACCTCATACTCTCTTTGACTAGAGGTGCAGGATCCCTTTCTCCTCCCTTTCATGCTGTGCTCCTGATCCCTAATCTGGGCCAGAAAAACCTGAGGAGTTAAGACAAAAGAGAAAGCAAACTCATCCACAGTAAAGGTGGAAAATATGGAAACTCAGAGGAGAGGGAGAGACACTAATAAAAAGCATCTAAAGTATAGATCTGAACCTGATATAAAGGGCAATAACTAGAGGTAAGTTTAGTCATTTGAAAATACTTCTGGTATAGCAATTTAGATCAGCTGATAGTGAATGAAAAAGTATAAAAAACAGAAAAAGTAAATTATGACCATTTTAAAGAGAGTAATTAAAATTTCCTACTTCCACATACCATAATGCCATAATTATACAAAAGTATTAATGAAAATAGATCATAAATTGCAGTTGTCTAATCAACAGGTTATTGATTAATAATGGAAAACTTACCACTATGAAGTATGCACAACATGCAGCTTTTTTTTTTCTTATGCTCTATACTCACAGCTAGGCATCAATGATGCCTACTTAACTTCTCTTGGATGTCTCCAAGGCAACCAAACTCCTATGTTTTCACTGCAAACCCGTTCCTTTTCTAGCTTCCTTATTCTCAGCGGTTAACTCCATTAGCCATCCAGTTATGCAAGCTAGAAATGCAGGGGTTACTCTAACCCGGCTAGTTTTCCACTGTCATATCTAAACCGTCCCTTAATGTTACCTTCTATTTCAAATAGATCAATTGGTCTTTGCTTCCATCACCACCTTAATTTCTCTCCTAAACTACTCCTCCGAACAGCATCCACTCTGTCCTTTGTCAAAAGCATTTTCCACACTACTTCATTCACCAAATACTTTTGAGAGGCCTAGTTTGGACTCTGGAAGCATCATGGTGAACAAAAGGATTTGTGGGAAACAAGATAAACATCAAATAATTATAAACTCTATGTGAACAATTAAAATTGGATGATAAACTAAGAGAGTGGATACTGTGTTCAAATTCAAGGGATTAAAGCAGAAAAGTGAAAGAATTCGGCCGGGACGATGGTATCTGCTATCCAGCCTTCCGAGAATACAAGGAAATTGTTTCAGATGCTGGCCAAGAACAAAAAAAATGAGAAAAAGTTAAAATGCACATTAAGGTTCAATCTGTTTCCAACCACCTTCTGCTTAAATACAGCACCTTCTTTTTTGTATGTTCCTATCCCTAGAATGTAAACACTGTTAAGAGCCCAAACTTGTCTTGCTCTTTGCTATACCATTAAGAACTGTGCATGCAGATAAGTATCCGTTCTTTTAATGCACAAATCTGTATGCGAAGTGGGAGAGCCAACAGATAAGGCAGATAAGTGGGTTTGGAGTTCAGGAAGTTTCCCTGATGTCAAGGTCACTGGCTGGGCTCACAAGGTTAACTGGCTATGAAACCAAGGCCAGGTTTCCCAGCTTTGGCTTTCTGGCACCAAGCTCTCACGCTCACACTCACACACAAGCGCACAGCGCAAACCTCTTCAATTCCCCGCTAGGAGGAGTCACACCTCCCGACCCTGATACCCTCTCACCCTCTCCTCTATTTCTCTTTCCTTCCCCTCCCCGCCAGAGTTCCGGCAGCTTCGAGACGCAATGATCGCCGGGAATAGTAGTCTTCCGGTACAAGCCTGCAGAGTCTCAGTGTTTTTCAGAACTACGCTTCCCAGGGAGCCCTGCGGCAGAGGACGCTGAGTCACCTGACCCGGACTCTGGAGGTGCCATGGCGGCGCCCATGCTGCGCTGGGGCTGTCCTGGCACACGTTGGGCTTTAGCGGGGATTGGCGGCGGCTTTCGCCACCGAAGAGGGGCTTCGATTGGGTCCACGCCCAATCCGACAAGGGAACAGAGTACAGTGGCTCAGAAGCCCCTCCACACGGCCCAGAAGCTGAGGAAAGGGTATACCATTTTCATACTGTTACTGCCCGCCTAAGTGTGAAGTGGAACTGCGGCGCCAGGGAGACGTTGGCCCCTACAGCCCAGTTTTAGAGGTTTCAAGGGGCGGGAGGGTGGAGCCCTAGGGCCTGAGAACACAAAATGAGCCCTCTGTGAGTCCCGCCCTCATATACATACCACTGTCTTAATGTAGGCATATTTGGGAAACTTGGTGTGATGTAGCAAGTGTTTTCTTGAGCCGAAGGTTGCACAGACAGAAGAGCGAATTCGTTAGCTGTGAGGTTGGCCACACTAGAAGAGGAATCATTTAGCTGACATATCTTTAGCGCTACTATGGACTAACAGTGTTCTGAATGTGGAAAGGGAGTTTTTAATCTTACAAGCTATCTGGGGTATTGGTGGCTTAATGTCATACGTAATCAGAAAACACCAGCGATCTGTGGAGGTGTTTTATGTTAAATATGTGTGTCTAGACTTAGGAGGCTGTAACCAACTAAGAGCGTCCCCTTTTTGTTATATAAGAATTTTGCTTATTTTGATAGATATTTCCTGAGCAGCTGTTTATGCTTTGCCGCATAAGATTTAAATAGTTTCTTTTTAAATACAGAAACATAAGGTACGTTTCTAATATTTTGGGTTTTTTTCTTTGACATTAGCATTATTTTTGTTTTTGAGTTAGAGAAACAGAGGGAAAATGTCCAAAAGCATTTGATTTCTATTCTTTTCGTAAATTATATTGACTCCCTGTAAATGGAAAGTATATTTTTGTCTCACATAATGAAATTACAAAAATGCTTTGAATGATGCCTAAGAGAATTTAGAGTTCCTGGTGAATTCTTAGTTTAATTCCTTTCACAAGATGTTTCCAAACTTTAAAAAGAAGGAATTCATCTTTTTGTGGTACATTAGGCATAGAACTTCTTGTATTGAAATGATTGAAACAAAACCCAATACATGTAAACAAAAATCTAAATAATATAGAAGATGTCTTGGGGAAAAGAGCAGGATAGGAACGTACATAAATTTGATATGGATAAGCACACTTATAATTACCGGGAGAGAGCTGTGTACCAACCCAACAGAATAGGGATGGCTAGATAAGAAATTATTTTAGCACATTGCTTCTTAAATTTGATAGCAGTCAAGCATAAACAAACAAAGGAACCTGAGATTAAATCTCAGAAATTTGAAGTGATTTGGGAGCCATCGTGGCCTGTAATCCCATTGACTTGGGAAACTGAGGAGGATTGCACAAGTTCAAGGCCAGCCTCATCAATTTAGCAAGACCCTGTCTCAAAATAAAAAGGGGTGGGGGATGTAGCTCAAGGGTAAAGTGTCCCCTGGCTTTAATCCCCAGTACACTCTCCTCCCAAAGTGCCACATCTGATGGTTAGTTTTTCTTTGTGAAATTTTTCAGGAGTATCATTTAGTGGTGATCTGTTATATCTGTGACACTGGTTGTTGTACCTGTAAGCCATTGTGATAAAATCAATTTGAAATATGACTTGAGAATTTCCTTTTTTAACTTTTTTTTTTTTGTAGTCAAATCCTTCCATTTGTGTTAATTCTAGATAATATTTGAAAGACAGACTTTCTTCCATTTACTCAGTGGTTCACTGATAGGCACCGTTAATTTATACATTGCTGCCTGGCAGTTGTCACCTGATACCATTTCTAAATTATATTAAGATGTCAGATTATTTTGTTCTTTGTAGCCTTCCTGTTTATGCAATGAATCTCCTAATTCCACATTGCAAACGAATTTATTTTTCCCATCTCATTTCAGGTGTTCAATATGAATTGCTTTTGATTTAGTCACCAATGAAATTTATACATTTTAAAATGTAAGGCTATAAAATTTTAATAAGTTAAAAAGGAAATTCACATTTGGGGTTTAGGCTTATAGAAATGTATTCGTGCTGACAGATGTAACTACTTCGTAACCATGATCTCTTTCTCACCAGTGAACACAAATGGGCAGCTGTTGTAGGACTGGAAATTCATGCCCAGATTTCCTCCAACTCTAAGCTCTTCTCTGGATCTCAAGTGTGTTTTGCAGCACCTCCAAATTCTTTGGTTTCTTTTTTTGATGCATCTCTGCCTGGAACTTTGCCGGTAAGGTTTTTATCTAATTCTATTTTCATTAGAAAGTGTTTAAACTGAACATAAAGATTTCTTTGTTTTAATATATTGGTAGAACTCAGGAAATAGTTGTTTAGGGGATTATGGATAAAGGGAAATGGGCTAAATGTTTTCTAAAGACCCATGTCTATAATTCTGTTTCTAAGTGAACTTTCATATGCAAATTCACTTGTTTCACAAACATTTTAGAATGCCTACTAAATACCAGACATTGTCCTGTGAGCTGGCTCAAAAAGATGAGCAAAGCTCTCTGCCTTTAAGAAACCCAAAGACTAGTGGGGGTGACATGTCTTAGAAACAAATAGAGTACTCTTTTGAAGGTAACATATAGAGGATAGTTTTGGAATCCAGGAAAAACTACAGTTAGAAATTGTAGGGGTATATTTGTTAAGGAGGGGTTCCTGGAAAAGGTGGTGTCTTAGCTCTTTGAAAAGCCAAACAGCAGTTAGGCAGTTAAATGGAGGAGGGGAGAAACCTAGTCAAAGGAAGCACATATATCATATGATATCACTGTGTAAGATCGATAATGATTGTGGTTATTGAAAATTAAGAAGAGATCAATAATGGAGAAAAGAATCAACCACAATATGCAGTGGGTTAATTACTGATTTTGCTACTTGTTTTTACCTTAACCCAAGGAATGACTAAGCCCAGCATACTATCAGCAAGGTTTTTAGCATATGTTTTCATATAATTGGCTGAATTTTGGAAAGGATAGGAGAAACAGTGTAAACGTCTGAGCTTATATTCTGGCCAGGACTGATGGAGATGGGGCCGGTAAGGCTCATCATGAGTGAATTTCATACTCTCAAACATTTAAATACAAGGGAATGCTAGCTGAACTGCATTGGCAGGCTTACAGGGGTAAAAGTCTGTTTTTCTCGAAGTCACTGCCCAGACTGGAAAGCTCTTGGCAGTGCCTCCCATGTGCCTGCCTTACCAAGGGCTTTCATTGTCTTAGGACAGCATCTCCATCTCAGACTTTTGTCATACTTGTGTTTTTTGTCATGGAGGACTTTCATTCCTGCAGCCGTATCCAGGGTTAGCTTTGAATTGCTGTTGGGTTTCCTTAGAGGAAAATAGATGGGGTGCTCTCTCTTTTTTGTTTCTCTGTCTCTCTCTGGCTTAAAGTGTCCAGCTATGTACAGAGATCTTGGTTTGTTTGAGAAAAGACAGTTTTTCAGTAATACAAGCATTTTGTGTGTGTGTTTGGGGGGTAGGGCGGAAAAATAAAACAAATCTAGATTAAAAAAATCTAAATAGGTAAATGTCTATTTAGACAAGTTAAATGGAAGGCAGTTTATATAACACCGAGCCAGGCTCGGTGGTACACACCTGTAATCTCAGTGACTTGGAGGCTGAGACAGGGGATTGCAAGTTCAAGGCCAGGCTCAGAAACTTAGCAAGGCCCTAAGCAGATTATTGATATCCTGTCTCAAAATAAAGATGGAGATGTGGCTCAGTGATAAAGCATTCCTGGATGAAATCCCCAGTAACCCCCCGCCCCCAGCAGAAAAAAGCAAGATGAGACACAAGCTCTGAGTTCCTTCTAGATTTTTCCAGCTAGGAGTATGATATGCAGCAGGATACTTCTTACAGTTCACATTTAGAAATAGATCCATTTGCAGATAGGCACATTTTGTGTAAACAGACAACAGCCTAAAATGTTTAAGCTTCTGTTGTGCCTAAATGTAGTGAAATTTAATTAAGGACAGTTAGAAATAACCATCAGGCCAATATGTGTTGAAATGTATCTTGTCATGCTGTAAAAAAGAAGGGGCTTGACCAGTGGTTAGTTAAACAGTGAAGGTGTTGGGGACATTGACCATTGAGAATTAGGTTTACATTAATTAAATTGTAGGCAGAAGCTACAGTTTTGCAAGAGCTAGGATTTGTTCTTCTTCAGAGCCAACAGCACTCATTTGAGTGGCCCAAAGTGGTGATTCTCTTAACAGAGCTGATCTGCCTCTTTTTCAAGAATGTTTCTGTCTTTAAAATACCTATTTTAGTACATGAGTAAAATTATATCAAAACTCCTAGAATAAGACATTGTCACTGAAAACATTTCAAAACCCCAAGATTTGCCTATTAATAGATTTAAAATGTGCTAGAACATTTAGACAGGTGTCCTTCTCTAAACCCTATGATATAACGATGTGCTGATATCCTGAGTCTATATCTGGTAACTGCTTTTAACAAACTCAGAAGCTGAGAGTATGTTTCTCAGGATTAGAATAGATCATTATGTTATTGTTTAGATCAGTTAAGCCAAAAAGTATGTGAAATTCATGATGATGCTTGAAACTCTCTGCTCGAGTCTGCACTAAGCCTTTCTCTCCTGAAGTGACTTGCTGACTGCTCCTTCACGTGGCTGTGTTCCTCCACCCAGCCCTGACATGTTGGCTTCCTGTGCACCATTCCTGGGCTCTCGCTTTCTCTAGTCCTCTTAAGGAATCTTTTTTTCCCTTCTCTTCTGGGTAACAGATCTGTATTTCTAATATCCTACAGTATATTTCCATCAAAATGATTCACCATCAGCTTAAATTCAGCACTTAAAATATTGAACTCATTAGTTTTTAGATACATTTATTTATTTGTTTTTAGGTGGTGCTGAGGATCAAACCCAGTGCCTCACTTGTGCTAGGCAAGCACTCTACCACTGAGCCACAACCCCAGTCCAAGCCCATTATTTTTGCTTCCCAGAGCTTCACTGCCTCCTGACAAAAGAATAAATCAACAAGTGGGTGGTGGGGGTAGGATATGCTTAAAAATGGATGTTCAGGGGAAAAATGTCTGTGTGTGTGTGTTATATACACTTGTATATCAAAGAAGGGAAAAAGTCATTGGAAAGAGGATGTTTATTCAGTTGATGGTTTTGGACAAATGGGTTAGGTATTTATTTATTTTGGGGGGAATATGAGAGATTGAATCCAGGGTGCTTAACCACTGTGCCACATCCCCAGCCCTTTTTTTATTTTGAGACAGGGTCTTGCTAAGTTGCTTGGGCCTCACTAAGTTGCTGAGGCTGGCTTTGAACTTGCCATCCTCCTGCCTCAGCCTCCTAAGCCACTGGGATTACAGGTTTGTGCCACCATGCCTGGTCTAATTAGGTATTTAGAGAAAAATTTTATAGCTTATCTCATACATCAAAACAAAATTCAAATATTTATTTATAAATTAAATGTAAAATTAAAGTAAATATTCATTTGTCCTTGGGATGGGGAGAAACTTTGTAAGCATAAAAGAGGAGAAATTCATAGAGCAAAATGATGGAGTTTGTCTACTTCATTCATCCAATAAATATTTATTGACCCACTCATTCTTTTAAGGACCCACCCCAGGAAATTAATAAAACAAAATGTGGACAAAGACTTCTTTGCAAAGTTGTCTATAGCAAGACGATTTATAATAGTGTAAAATTGGAAGCAACCAAAATTTCCCAGTGGTGTGGGAATGGTTGAGTGAATTACCATATGTCTGTACAGTGAAATAATATCATGTTTATGAAGAATTTTTAGTGGCAGGAAAATGCTAACAGTAAAAATCTCATTAAGATAAATAAAATTTGCATGTAGGTTATTTAATCTTTTCTTGCCTCGGTTTCTCACTTGTGAAATGAGGATAACATATTTGACACAATTGGGTTTTTATGAGAATTAAATGAATCAATGCCTTTAAAACATTCAGTCACTGGGTGCAGTAGGTAGTGCACACCTGTAATCCCAGTGGCTAGGGAGCCTGAGGCAGGAGGA